GAAGGACCCCAGGAAGGTAGGAACTGGGTGCAGGGGTGGGGCCCCCCTCCTCCCCATCTCGGGAGGTGGCCCCGCTGTCCGCACAGGCCCTGAGCTGCCTGCCGGCCTCCCGCCCTCGCACAGGCCCTCTGCCCTTGACTCAGTAACATTCCAAACGTGTGCGTGTGCGTGTGCGTGTGCGTGTGCGTGTGCGCCTGAGGGGCACGGACCCCAAAGAAACTGCAGTTATCAAATGCCAGACCCCCCTCTGACGCTGCACCCGTGGTGCCTCTCCCGGCGGCTCCCAGAAGGCACGGCACCGAGGCTCCCGGGCCTCGACACCCAGGCCGCGAGCACGTGGCCTCAGCTCGAGCTGCGAGGAGGCGGGTGGCCAGTTGTCCCCCTTCAGGGCTCCAGCCAGTGGCTGCGCCTGCGGCCTCCACCCCGTCCCTGCGGGGGATGCACTTAGGGGACAGTGACCTAGAGTCGCAGGAAGGAGTGAGGCTGCACCGCCCCCTGGCCGCGGGGATGGTGAGGCAGGGCCGCAACCGGGTGGCTCCCGGGCACCTCGGTGTGCGCGCCCCCCTTGCTTCCTCGTGGCTGAGCCACCGCTGAGGCTTGGGGGCCTCGGACAGGAGGCGCTGCGTGATGACGATGGCGATGTCACGCGGGCGACCCGGGAGGGGGAGGGGCCGTGCCTCCCCCCCCACCCCACCCCCCGGGCACCATGCTGTGTGGTTTGTTGGCGAAGGAGAACTTGGTTCCTGTCCTCACAACTCTGACCCTGAGGCCGGGGAGGCGTGGAGCCCACAGGGGAAGGCTCAGCCCCGATCGCCCTCGGGGACCCCAGGCGCCTGTGCTGCCCGCGCTGTACCCCGGGGTCCCGACCCCAGGTCCGCTCACACAGTGACTCAGACTCGGACAGCACTGTAGGACGTTTATTATAAAGGACACCGCTCAGGGGCAGCCCTCAGAGAGGCGCACAGGCCGGGGCCGGGGGACAGGCCTCTGCTGCCTCCCCCCGCCCCCCGCACCTCCTGTGTTCACACGGGAAGCTCCCCTCTCCAGACCCCGCCCTCGGGTTTGGTGGAGGCTCATTACGTGGACGTGACCCATCACGATCTCAGTCTCCAGCCCCTCCTGTCCCCAAGGAGGGACCAGAAGTCGCCTCCCCGGAGCCCCAGGGAGTTCCCAGGGATGGGGGACGGGTGTCGGGAACCGGGGCGGAGGCGGGCAGTGGGTTTGTTTCACCGCCACCGAGAGCTCGCAGACCCGGCGGCAGGTGGCTCATGGCAGCTGCGCTTCCCACAGGCCCTGACCTGCCGGGGGCA